TAGCGAAAGTAATAAAACTTCATCTTTCAATGCTTTAACACGTCATTCGATCGAACTTTTACAACTGTACCTTCCAATAAGTTTGACACATCGAATATCATTGGAAAACATTTTGCTGCATCCAAGTTTTGCGTATTTAAAGCTCAAAATCCACGGATTTGAGGCGGCGGCGCTCGCAGAATCGCTCTGGTCCCACGCGGCCAAAAAGGCCAAACCCGCGATGTCATCAAAGTGTTAATAAAATGAGGCTTTTCGCTGTTACTGCTTGTTTGCTGTTGCTTCAAACCGTGGATTGCGATGCCAAGTCAAAACCATGGAACGTGAGCTCTAGACAGGATTTCAGACTGGTTCACAAATCGGACACTGGGTTACGTAGAAAACTACGGTTCAAATACCGTGATGCCCAGTGACCCTACATATCTCCACAGTTCGACATCACTTCCTCTTAAGAGCAACCTTCAATTTTTGTTACTTGACTAAACGACGGTGAGAAAACCACTCCTGCGTAAATGGACGAGATGATTTCCCTAGTCATTTGGGATACCCTGTTGTTGTCTCAATGCAGTTAGAGGTACTGGTTTCGCAGAATGGCCACAACTTTTGGACCTTGAACACGTTTAGGCTTTCAAGAAAAAAAATCAGTATTAGTGAAATGACACTGAATCAATGGTAACTTGGATCAAAGAGGCATAAGAACTGGGGAAATCATCCAAATACAAATCCTATTTGCTGAAGAAATTAATACAATGGAGCAAAAATGCTCACGAATCTCACTTGTAATGATGCTCATCCATACTTTTTGAACTGTTTTCTTTTTGCCAGCTGTGGCTTTGTATTTAAAAAAGGAAAGACTACTTACTTCCTCGACCTCCAATGGAGGTTCTTCGCACAACTCATCAAGGACAGGAGAATCACTCGTTTCAAAGCTCTGCTCGACCTCAGAATTACTCCATTGCAGTTCATCGAGGGAGCAGATCCTGAATAATTGCATGTACTTTGCAGAATTCACAACTCGTTCGTCAAACTACAAATCAACGCGAAATGTGAATTGAAGCCATTACCCAAATTGGTTCCTTATACCATTCTTTGATTACAGCGAGGAGCTCAGTAAAGTAACACATTGAAGAATGACACAAGTTGAAGGGAAAAAACCGCAAAATGAGCACTAACCGGCTAGTTCCTTCACCAATCATGTGAGAAAATGAGGGCAATTCGAGCGCCGAAAGAGTGAGATTGATCACATTCTCGGTCACCTCCGATGGTTTTCCTCTTGAAGTCATACAGTTACTACGAATAAATAAGAGCACATAAAAAAACAACAACAAATAGTCACTTCGGAATCTGTTCGGCTGACCCTACAATAACAGGATCAGGTGATTTGTTCGACGATCTTGCAACATTCCATGAAAAGGCTATAGCCTCATGCAACTGTTTCATACCAACGATAGATCGAATTTGAGCAATAACTGTAGAAAAGACATGAACATTTCAGAAAACAAAAAAAATCAGACCCGACTAACCTTCGGCTACTAGTTTCGTCGTATCTTCGACATAACTATCTGGGGAAGGAAACAATCCAGCCTTCGCTTGATCACGCTCTCCATCAGAAATTTTGTCCTTGACATTTTTGAAGATATTCACAGCCATCAGCATCCGATAATGAACGTTGGAATCGGCTAAAAGGAATTCTTTGGAATAGAAACAGCGCCCAAGCTTCCTCAGCAAGTTTGGAATGTTAAAAAAGAACTGTACCTATGTGACGAATCACGCTTTCAAGTATTTTTAGAGCACTGCATAATTCGTGTTTAATTATTCGATTTTGGCCTTTGAGTGTAGCAAGGAGGTCGAAACGGAACCTAAGTAGAAGATATGTAGAGTGAAAAAACTTCCAACGACTAAAACAAGTGCATCACAGTATAGCTTATTCTTAGTTCAAGTATACAGCTGCGCTTATAAAAGCAGTCCTTCAGTGAAATAAAATGAAGATCGCCATTTCTGTAGCCCCTTCTTTACCTTTTTTCTTTTTCTTGCTGTGAAATAGAAGCAGAGGAGAACTATTTCATTGTTTACATGTTTCATGCCTTATTCAACTCCGTGCGCGAATTTCGGAACGTCAACTCGAAATGCAAAAATTTGTCACCACGAGGAATCGAACTAGGGACCCCCTTTTCTGGTATTCAGAGGGCCGTTCAGGAAAAATGAACCATGGTTCTGTGGTTCCCGCATCTGCCCCTATATCATGCAAAAGACCGTTTTCAAAAAGCTTGGCACGCCCTGAAAGACCTTCCTGGTGAGACGTTACCTTCCCTCTTATTAGGTAGGACCCTTACACAACCCACTAGGTAAGCTCCTGACCGTCCTCAAAGGATTTGTCGTAACCCCTTCCTACAAGCAGCGATTCAAAGAGCCGTTTAAAAACACAGATAAAAGTGTGCTAAGAAATGAACGAAACACTGAAACATTCTCGAGCTCATGCAAAATTCGAAAATAGAGCCATAACAAAAGCGAATGTTAGGAAATTAACAATTCTTTTCAGGGACCAATAGGGATTATGAATCTTATTCAGTCACACCCTTCATCTGGAATAGGAAGATCGTACGTAGCGTCACCCAAAGGTTGGATCAATGGCCAAAAGACAACAGCAATCACCAGCAATCACCTTGTCGGATGACAGGGAGAAGCTGGCTTCTTGATGTTTTTTTTTGAACTAATGATAGGATCACAAATTAGAGAAGACATAAAACACCGTTGCTGTCAAGAAATAAGATCGAACATGAGATTTTTTAAGCACTGGAGGAAATTGCAAAAAAAAAATTGTAATGAAGGAACTACTTTGTTCATTGGCTCATTTCATTTCAAAAGCGATCAACCCTAAACCGTATTTTGAAGCAACAAAACATGCGGAAATGATGCCGCTTAGCGGCGATGTGATTAAACATGGAACTCCGACATTACGCTAAACTAATATGCAGATATCGATCGTCTGAATTACAGATGGGAATGTGCGTTACACTTTTACCAAACAAAGCTACCAGAATTATATTATTGATTTACACTTTATACATTCAAATTTGAATCATTGTATCACCACATAATAAAACAATATTACAAACAGGCATGTTGAAAGAAATCACATAAGATTTTAATTCAATTTAACGTAAGGATTGTTAACCATTACTTCAGGAGTGACGCCGAGCACCTTCACACATGAGACAAATTTCTTGCGATTCTGTTGACACACTGGACCGCATAAACGACCTAGGGAACAGAGTTTCGGCGTGGTGCTGATTGCTATCTCATGACATCCGAAAACGAAGAGGAAGGTTCGAAAGAAAGAAGAAA